TTAATATCAATAACAACTAGCTTATCAGTTCAAACCTGTTTAACGTCCAAATGCGGATCGAATCGCCTCAATTTATTTGCAATTTTATGCCAATCAATTTCCTCCAACTGTATCGTATCACTGAATGTTATCGAATGTAAATTAACGCTGAACTGCCTGGCAGCTGCTTTCGCAGATATAACTTCCAATTGATTCGACTGAAAATTGAACGCATAAAACTGATGAATAATCAATCAACCAATTGAAAATTAAAACATTCATTCATATCTTAGAAATCGGGCACTTGGATACGGCAAACACAGATATGTGCATAGAAAAGTGCAAATACCTGTTTATCCATGACCACATATGCACGAAAAGGGCAGAATTTCTTGCTTGGAGTTGGGTCGAGAGCGATGGAACGTTCGATCAATTGCGATGGTACCGTCAAGGAACCATCCACATCCTTTTCGATCGTTATCGATTCACCATTCGCCGGCTTGTAGACCCGCAGACCAAACTCCTGAACTATTCATTCGTCAACACATTTATTTTACTGAATGTAACTGACTTCGCTGCTTCGATTATTCTCGGGAAATTCGAAGTCATTACATCAGAAATTCCCAATATCGATGATAGCAGTAAATTACTCGCTGGAATCAACGCATTGAGTTCTATTATTTAAATACATACTTATTTCGTGACCACATAGTGAACAGCAAAAGAATCAGCCAAGTGATTCAGAATATCGTCATGTCAGTACCACAAATAAGTAAGAGTGATGAAAATAGAATTAACCTTCTCAACTTTCTCTTTCAAAAATTCCATTTTCGAAGCTTCGCCATGCACAAACATCACATTCTTCGGCTCGGTGTGTCGAATTAACTGCAGAAAGAGAATTTTTCATTGTTCATCGGATGTCAGTAAAATTTCGAAACGAAGTCAGTAAAGTTCCTCTGGAAGTGCACGTTCCCTTGTAATGGAGGAGAGGGAAAAGATTCAACCATGACACTACACTTTACTTGTGCAGCTTAGATGCATAAAAAACGAACACGTGGACATTTGAAAAAGTTCACCATACACTCATTTCAACGACCAAACAATTTCC